GTACGCATGCATGGAATCATAGCTATAATTACTGCAAGTTCTTCCATGGGGAAGGCCAGTTGCATTTGGACTTCGGTAGTTTCACAGCCTCTTATTGTTTTCACCTTTAGCCACCTTCAAGTGAGTAGTTTACAATAAGACTTTGTGACCGGGGGGGGGGGGGGAATGGTGGTCTAATAAAGGTATCACCTTCTTTTGCCTTTGTGACTAGTTAATGAATAACCAGTAATAAAATATGTCTTCACAACTGCTGTCTGATGAGCAAGCATGAATTCTCCTCAGCACCTGATTAAAAGACAGGCTCAGTAAGTTTAATGAACTAAGTAAATGTAGGGGCCTGTAAATTTATTTATTTTATTTGTTCGATTTATATCCCGCCCATCTGGTATATTCTACCACTCTCGGCGGCTTGCAGAATATCAAAAACAATTTAAAAAAACATAAAAACATTAGCATACAACAATAACAAATAGTGCAGGAATAAATAAATAATAAATAGCAAAGAAAAGAAATCAGTAGTTGACAGGAGGGAAGGCCTGGATGTACATCTATGTTTTCAGTTGGCATTTGAAAATACCCAGCGTTTGGGGCCTTGCAAATCTCCGGAGGAAGGTTGTTCCAAAGGCGAGGAGCCACCGCCGAGAAGGCCCGGCTTCGTGTCTTTTCCCTCTGGGCCTCCCTCAGCGTCAGGCTCCTCAGCCTCACCTCCTGACTCATGCGGGTGATCCGAGTAGATCTTGGTGGGAGCAGGCGCTCCGCCAAGTATCGAGGTCCTAAACCATTTAGGGCCTTATAGGTAAGCATTAGAACTTTGAAGTCAATGTGGAAACGGATGGGCAGCCAGTGCAGTTTGGCCAGAACAGGAGAAAAATGTTGGTGTTTTCTCACTCCAGTAAGGAGTCTGGCCGCTGCATTCTGCACCACCTGAAGTTTCCGCATCAGCTTCAAAGGTAGCCCCACGTAGAGCGTGTTAGAGTGGTCTAGTCTTGAGATTACGAGCGCATGTACCAAGGTAGTGAGTGCCCCCATGTCACGGTAGGGTCGCAGCCGGGCAATCCGCCAAAGGTGGAAAAAGGCGGTGTGAACTACCGACACCACTTGGGTTTCCATGGTAAGCGTCGGGTCCAGGTTATTTACTTGTTACTGTAGTTCTTTGAGTGGTCATCTGTGAATTCACACAAATGGATTGTTCTGCACCTGCAAATATGTCCTTGGAATCTTCCAGAGCCCAAGAAGTTTTTCAGCCCCACTCTACCTCCTATCACATGCTCGTCCATCCAACGGTTAATTCCCAGTTCCCATGTCTGCCACTGAATAAAGAGCAATGTGTGGTAAAAGCAAGGTTGGGTGAGTTGTCTGAATTCACAGATAATCACTTGAAGAACTACAGTTACAGGTGAGTAAACTGTCCTTGTTTTTTATGGTCTCTGTGAGTCAGACTAATGGGTGAGTTAGCCAGCTCGCTTACTGGCCAGTGGGATGTCATACCAACACTGATGAAGTTACCACCCGACCAAATCTGGCTCTGACATCCAGTTTACTTCATGGGTTGAGACCATGTGGCTGCCTTACAAGTGTCTTATGAAAACAGTGGAGGCAAACAAAGGCCTGGTGGAATGTCCTTTCAAAAGAGTCGGGCACAGGTTTTCTTGCCAAATGATATGATAAGGTGATGGTATGTACTGTAGTTGGATATTCTTTGAGAGAATGATTACCCTGTTGTTTCCCTTGATAGCAGACAAGCAGCTTGGGTAATCTTTTGGAAAGCCTTTGTCCTGTTCATGTAGAAGACTAGAGCTCTACACACATCTGATGAGTGAAGTCGTCCTTCCAAGTCTGTAGCAAGGAATAGAAAGAAGGTCAGCAACACCAGAATTTGATTGATACGAAAGTCTGTCACAACTTTAGGGAGAAAAGAAACATCTGTTGTGAGACCCACCTTATCACTGAAAAAATGTAGAAGGGGGTGGGTAATGCCAAATACCTATTTGTCCAAAGGACAAACCAGCACGAACTGCCAAACTGGTAGTTTGTGCCCATCTCTAATCACAATTCTTCAGCTTTCTAAAAGATACTGTATACACAATCTTTACCCAGGTATTAAAGCATCAGGATTCTTTTATCTTCTGGAAGTCTTTGGAGTAAGATTTGTAATCTTCTCCCACAAGAAAAGGTGGCATGCCGTGACTGCTGCCTGGTAATTTGCCACTTGAATCCCTAGGGCAGATGTGGAGTAAATTCTGCACACAATTGCATTCATTTTTCTACGCTCTTTCATCATGTCTGGGATGCTTCAACAATGATGGAATTTGGGTGTGGATGCTGAAAAAGAACCCAGTTTCCTTACCTTGAATTCTGTATATGTTCTCCACACTTCTAGAAGCAGGGGAAGAGTGTGGAAGTCCCCCCCAAAAAAAATCATTCATTAGATCAGGTACAGAGGGCAGCATGGCTGTGTGGACAGGTGTGGCAGTGTTCTGGAGTTTATCATAAACAAGGTCCTATTTGGGAGGAGGTGGCCTTTGGACTTCTATCTGCAAAGACTTTGCCATCCTGAGCATCAGGTCAGAAAAGGACCTGTTGCCCTCCGATGGAGAGGGAGTGATAGTAACATCAACATCAGAGTCCTGAGATGATGCTAGGAAGGGTGGTGATTCTTCAGAAAAGATGTTGTCCTCTGAATCCAGTGGCTTTTGCGTCAGAGTCCTGAGATGATGCTAGGAAGGGTCGTGATTCTTCAGAAAAGATGTTGTTGTCCTCTGAATCCAGTGGCTTTTGCTTGTCAACATGTTGTTTTACATAGATTTCACCTTTGGTTTTGATAGGATGTTGGCTTCTGGAATCAAGAAAGCACCACAGGTAGGTGACTCAGTGAATTTCTCCTCAGCCTTTTAGCTTTTCTCTGCAGAATTGTGTGCTGGCTCTGAAAAGCAAACAATGCTGTTATGTTGATTTCAGAACCAATCTTTGAAAATCTTGTGATGGTGATGCCAAGTTCTGAGATTGAAGTGTTTTTGGTGTAGATGCATTAGAGTTGGAAGAAAGAGTGATCCTTATGCACCTTCTTAGCACTTTTGCCATCAACAGTGCTTGAGATGTATGTTGATGCATAGAGACTCACCACTGAGAAATTCTTGGAGTTGAAGGGTGGTCTGTTTAGCTTTCTCCAAATTGGTTGCCATTGACGTTAGTTGTCAATGACGAAGCATTTTTGGAGTCATTACCTTTGGTCTTTCTTACTCTACAGATGTTTGTCCACATCGAAGTCTGATGTAGCACTGATATCGGCCTTCCTTAAGATTTATGATGTCAATTTCGATGTCAAAGCTTTCGACCTTGTCCATATATTAGAGGGTTGCTCAGAATTGGACCTGGATGAGGACTTTGATGCCAAGGGGTACATTTCTGCAGTCATATAGTATTGAGAGAAGGTACCGTAGGGTGGGTAGAAATTCTCCTGTTAGCATGTGCCCAAATGGAGACAGAGTGGGCAGTTTTGGCTGAGGGCCTGACACTGGTGACTGGTGCTTCTCCGAATCTAATGATGACAGCGAGTGGGTTGTGGCCATTTGTTTACTGTCTCGGTGTCTCCTGGAATGTTTTTTCCTTAATCTTCAGAGTCTGTTGAGATACACGCTCACCATCTGACAATTGAGTCAAATGGCTCCATGCTGGTGAGTGTGTCAGAAGTGGAGAGATGCTCGGAGAAAAATGTGGAGCATTGTCCTCCTTTGAGAAGTTGGGGGGAGCACACCACTACCAATGAAGGCTGTTTTCCTTGTCCATATGTGGTTTTCAGTTTCTTTGGTTGTAGTTTGTCCCTTTGAAATTAAAGGCATTTGGTTCCAGAGTGGATGGTGTTGAGATCATGGGGCAGTGGCTGTTACAATGTTCTACTGCCTACAGTAGAATGTTGGCAGTCTCCATGAGCACTGATTTTGAGGGAGTCTTACAGGCTGTAGACTGCTTGGACTGACCCCTTCCAAAGGAATAATTTGAGTCTGAAGTGCCTGTTCTTTATGGTGACTTTTGTAAAAATAATAATAATATTTTTAAGAGCCACAAATTTGGCAGGACTGTGTTTTGTGTCCCTCTCCCAAATAACAGAGGCACTTGGAGTGCCTGTCAATTAGAGCAGTGGTTCCCAACCTTGGGTCTCCAGATGTTCTTGGACTAAAACTCTCAGAAGCCTTCACCAGTAGCTGTGCTGGCCAGGATTTTGGGGAGTTGCAATCCAAGAAGATATGGGGACCTAAGATTAGGAACCATTGAGTTGGAAGAATTTTATTTTTGCAGGTGTTGCACTTTTTAAGCAGGGCTTTAGATGCAAAAAAAAAAAGGTGGAAACAAAACAATCAGTCTCCCTCTATTGCTTTTAAATTACATGACAAAACCTGATTTTTTAAAAAGGTTAAAAACAAACAACAGGACTAAAAGGGAAAGACTATTATATGAATATGGTAAGTAGGATCCAGTATTTAAATACTGGTGCTCCTTCAGCAGCGGTTAGAATGGAACTGGGAATTAACCACTGGATAGAGACTGTTAGGGTAGTGCTAAACACTTTCTAGGAAATTTCCAAGGACATCCACAGAACCACCTATTTGTGCAAATCATAGAGACTACAAAGAAAAAATATGTTTCAAGTTTTATATCATTCTTAAAATATGTGTGGTATAAAAACCCAAGGAACTAATTTCTAGTAGAAAGGCTCATGGTGACTTTCCACCTTTTACACTCTTTTGTAAGTATAAGCTTTATATTTCTTTTTGTATTTCAAAAATAAAGGCTAATGTAATTAAAGCAGTTTAACTAGCAGTTGATAGAAATATACTGGAAATAGAAAAAAGTCAAATCCATACAGGGGCTAGGAATCTGAGATTTCCTTTAACTAAATTATGATAGTTAAAATATAAAGGTTTGTATATTTCGCATTTGCTTCAACTGAGATTTTGAAATGTAACAAGAAATAGAAGGAAAAATGAATAAATCAACAGCAATTGACAGTAATCCAGAGACTTTAATTTGCCATAGTCAAAATAGTACAAGGGAGTTTAATTTGTGTAATTAAACAAGTTACTAATTTATGCAAAGAATATTAATTGAGATATTACTATATTAAATAGCAAATAAATGTCAACCCCTGCTCCCTTTGGTTTCTTTTAAACATAGACCATTTTTCCAAATCATCTAAAAACAGAAGTTACACAGTTTATACAGCTGTCTTTCTCCAAATTTCTGTAAACTTCCATATAAACAATATGAAATAAGATGTACTGTCAATATCGGACATGACAAAAACCATGGAACTATCCAGTCCTTCCCTGCGTGCACATGTGAGAGGGAAACCACTGTGAAAAGAACCTTCTTTCATGTACCTGGTTCTGGAAATATCTAGAAAAGGAGTGAATTGTCACCCATGTTCTTGTAACATGCTAATAAAGCACTTGAAAACAGTTTTGAACGTTCTAAGGTCATGAGACAGTTATTAGTCTCTGTGCAACTCTTATGAATAAAACTAGATTAGCCTATAGTTTCACGTGAAAGTTTATGAACAATGTCTGCAAGTATGAAAATGGTTATCTAATCAATTGTCATGGGGTTGAGAAGACCAAACAAGCAAACAAAAACAAACAAACAAACAAAAAACTAATTAATATACTGAAAAAATTAGAAAGTCTGACTATAAAGTTTTTAATGTAGTCATCCTCTTGGCACTTGAATTACCTAAATAGGGATAAAGTTTAGAAAGATGTAAAATTTTAAAAAATGAAAACAAGTATTGGAAATCGTTGTGCATAGTTGAAATTCATTATACATGGAGACTTCTGTTTGTTCTCAATTGAAAAAAGCTGATTGAACAGAATTTTAAAGAGGAACTATATTATCCTTGAAGCTAAATAAATGCAGCCTAAAGAATCTCTAGAATGTACAATCAAACACACACAATCACCCAAACTTCTCTGGACCAAAGAATTGCATCATCAAGGGCTATTATCATTCGCTCCAACTTCAAAATAAAGTTTGAACAGAATTCCCGAAAAAATCAAGAAGCCGATCTGAAAATAAATGTGTCTTTGAATACCACCACATAAACTAGGCAAGGATGTTTCAAGTTCCAACATTATGTGCAACTGATTAACATTCCCAGATCTGGTCAAAATAAAGTTTGAGAACAATTCAGATATTCACTGTTGGAAGCTAGTGTCCTTTTGTTTTATAAAAACAGTTTCTTCCTTATCATGCAACATAGTGGTATTGATTAGGGTTATCTTTGTCTCGCTCCATATATTCTCTGTCAATGAGAGATTCAATCCGCTTTTTCAAATCTCCAGGCTGTAAAAAGAGAGTATGTTTCCCATTGTGTTACCACTTCAAGGAAAAAGGAAACAGAATACAGTACTCATAAATCAAATATCTGAAAAGGATACCATAACTGTTTTGTCATTATACAGACTTCAGCATAGAACATTACTGTTCTATATGACATTATTGGTTTTCTTTGAAAAGGAGGGAAAAATAATATTTTACTCACCTTTACTGGAAATTTTAACTGATTATATAACTCTGAAACCAGAAGATTATGACCAAGTGTTTTCCTCATCTTCATTATTCGAACAATAGCAGCATCAATCTGATATTGTCTGTCTTGAAAGACTCTCTCAGTTGTGCTGACTTGTTCCTCAACCTAAACAGAAAGAACACATGATTTGCAGTTTTTGTCTCTGTTTCTTGTATATCCATATGTGTGTACACCTCCCCCACAACATTCCTTGCCTTTAGTTAGTTGTGATACATGGAGAATATGAAGAGGACTAACACATATATAGCAATAAATATAGTTTATCAAGTTGATTCGAGTTTATGGCAGTCCTTCCAAAGGTCTTTTAGGTATGAGATACTTGGAGGTGGTTTATCAGCCAGTCCTCTGGTAGTGCTCTGGAACTGTGCAGCTTGCTCAGTTATGATGACAATATGTTTGAAAGTTCTGTAAATACATATTTCATGTTTGCATACAAGCATAGCAATGTAACTTGCCAATTCACATTTTAAGAATGATTCAAGTTTCAGTTATACTTTACTCATCTTACAAGGAAAATATTTCTACTACCACATACAAAGGATCCAACTTCTTTTATAACGTGACTTATTCATGCATTAAATGAAATGACTGTTGTTTGATTCATAAAAACCAATTAATATTTATTGACATACAGTTAGTACTAAGGACAGTTACAAGAATGGATTACAAGGTACTGTATACATGCCAAACCCTCCTAGAGGAAGAATAAGAACATGCAGTGCACGAAAACAGATACCTCTGAAACACAAAGAAATCAGTTCACATGCAAGCGAATTTAGCTGTTGTAAAGAAATGGGTTGGGGGGGGTGAGGCTGAACCCGTACAAGACGGAGGTCTTGAGTGTGGGTGGTCCCTCCATCGGCGGTCTGGGTGACTCCCTTTCTTTTGGGGGAAAGACCCTCACCGCAAAGAGCGAGGCTCGCAG